CTTCACCTGCAATAACAAACGAAATCTTAATATGTACTAGCGTTATTTTAAATAGCAGTGCAAATGCAGGTTATTTCACAACCACAACAATACATGTAAAGTGTTATTAGCCAATGCACAACCCCCCCTCTCTTTTTGTGGCTCAAAGTATTCACTTCCTTGAAGTCAGGCTGCTGCTGAATAAACTGAATATATCATGTAATGCTTATTTCTTTGCCTTTTCACAAAGTAATAAAAATAACTCAATAAAGGCAATTTTATTGAAGACTGAACAGCTATGAAGAGACATTCACAAGTAAAGTAATGTTACATAATGAAAATTTGTGTGTTGCATAAGTTAACATCTAACAGACAAGGTTAGTAATAGCCAAAGGTATATCGAATATACATTTGGCTATTTTTACTTGTTGGTTCCAGTTGAAAGATGTTCATTCTTCATTTTTCTGCAGGGAGTTGAATTTCACCCCATTTCTAGATTGATTTAAATGATCCCCTCAAAAATCTGGTGGCTGTCAGTGTTTTACCCCAGGGTTGGGAGGGTAGGTATGCACAGTCTGCCCTGCTATTTTTTTATGGCAGTGCATAAACAACAGACTGGCAGCACAGGAAATGCATTTCCCATGATCCCTTAGGATATGTCACCAGTATTGCGTGACTTGAATTGATGCAATGACAATGAAAAGTCCACCCGAATGAAAAGTCTACACATTATAAAAAGCTGACCAAAACTGAAAACTATACCAACCCAATGTCAAGTCTAATAAAGAAAAATCAACCCAAAAAGGAAGTCTGTGCAAACTAAAAGACAATGTGTACCCCAAAATAGGAGAAAAAATGTGAAAAAACAAATTTTATATTACAAATTTGCATCATAATTTTGGCACCAATGGCATGCCATATGATCCTTGTAATTTACTTCCAATACAGGGAAAGCTTCATTATGACACGCCTTATGAAGTTATGATGAATACTACTCTGCTGGATCTTGTCCCCTTGCAATACACACCTTCATCCTGCTGCTGCTTCTGTGACTGAGAAGGCTGGAGTATTGGGGGAGGTTCCCAGTTACTGTCATTGTCTATAAAAAACATATTGTTACTGAGTGGGTTTTGAGTTCCTTTGATTTACAGCACTCTACTTCAAATATAATATAACAGAAAATACATCCACTAAGGGAGGAGGTCCTGGGGGTGGTACTGGCATGTATGTTTGCCACAAATAAGTATGTGCCACTGTAAAGGGTAATGGTTTTTAAACAGTTTACTCTGGGATAGGGTATGTCAATCCGAGAGTTTGGGTCTAGAATAGGGTATTATTTTCCAGGAATTGGTTGAAAGTTTTAGTCTACAATAGAGAAACTGGGAATTGACACTCAAAAATATATAAAAAAAATCAAATCAGCACGTTTAACTTTACAAAACTCAGCCTACAAAACTACTATAGGATAGTAGTCTAGAATAGAGTAGCAAAATTCAGCTGAACTAGCTCTGGTATAGGCTAAGGGTCCCAGGGTCCCAGCAGCACATCCCCACCCAGAAATTCCTAAAGTATCCTCCCCTCCCCCCAGGAAGGAGCTGAACTTTGTGATGTAAGATTTGGAGAGGCTTTCTCCTCAGTTAAACATGATTGTAATTTAAAGGTGTCATAACGTCATATCACAAAGAAGAAAGTTCTTCAACTGTTCAAGTATTCACTGAATTGTACTTTCAAGCCCTAGTTACATTTGCACATTATTTATGACATAAATAAGATACAAAGAGTATGGATCATGATACTCAGCAAGCTAAATGTACTGACCAGCGCTGAATTCAAAGTCATCTTCAGGCTGCTTGGTCTCTCCTTGCTGGTGAGTCTCCTGGTGCTCCTGCAGATCCGTCATGATAATAGCAGCACCACAGGTAAAACAGTTAATCATAGGAACATCACTGTCAACCTAAATGATCATTTAGAAGGGTAGGCAAATCAACAAACATACATGTAAGCAGTAGTTAAAAATACACGCATAATTGAAGCGTATAAACAATGTAAATCATGTTAAAATGTTCTTCAGCTACAGTTTGTTTTAGGATTTCCTTTGTTCTGAAAAATGTTTATGAACATGAGAAAAATAAAATTAAAAAAGAAAAGAAATACAAAGACTGAAACCATTGTAATCTGAATTTCATTTTAACTTATAGCGTCTACATCTTAAACTTTAACATCATTTCCATTTCCACACACAGCTAATTACAATACAAAACCAATTGAACAAGAAATAAAGGGAAAAGAGTCACTGACACTCCTATTGTAGCTTGTTAATTTCTGCTATCCAACTTACATCTTCTTTATCTTCTCCACCTTTGTCATCAAGTTCAATGTCCTTTTGGAGAGGTCGTATGAAAATTTTTGCTTGGCCACATAACTCCTTCAGCCTTTGAGGTGTGTGTGGGGGAAGAATTCTGTGGAACCCTGCACCCTCCCCATTACCTCTCTGAAACAACAGCAGGTGAAAACCCCCAAGCTCACTCAATTGAGGAAATCGTTGGGTGATTCCATTGTACACAGAGCTCTTGTTATACCCAAAGGTAATACTAGCATCACCCAAGCCAGCATTTGCCAGTGCCGTTCTTTCTTTCACAGACATTGGTGGACGGTCTGCCTCTTCCTTGGCAGCTAGACACACAAACTTTAAAGTACATGTAGCATTTCGTTTGGACTTTGGAAGAGAGCTGCCAGAAGAACGTGCTCGTTTTGCATTGTTTCCATGGCTAAACAGCCTGCGCTGTTCAGCAGCAACAGAAGCAGACAGACAAGCAGCTGGAGAAGGATTTGTATTCTGTTGCACCTTTCTGGTGCTGTCTAAGAATTAAAAAAATTATAATAATAAATATATTCAAGCAGAACCTTCTCAACGGCCAATCCAAACAAATTTAACTACAGAGAGCTCCGACATAATTATTAAATACATACATGTACGGTGTACGAGCACTGTAACTTGTTCTGTATTACCCATTGCTTACATTACTTGAATTGCTCAGACAAGAGTTTGTGTAGTCTGCATGGGAGGCCAGAGATTGGGGCGCCTGTGGCGTTTTATGCAGACCGATTCTTGATTGCTGGGCAACAAATCAAAATTCATTCCTTAATTCTCACAAAATAAAGAAATGAGTAAAAACACAAAGACAAGAGTATTGCAAGTAAAACCTTTCGGAAATATTTCATTCTACGATCGATGCCGTCCATTACGCAGCGCGCGTGAAGTGATCAAAATGATGCTGGCGCTATTTATGCGTACATGTAAGCTTGTGTCGGCGCTTACGCGCGAACTTTATTGAACACATAACTTCTTCATACTTGACAAAGATTGCCCGATACTTACTTGGAGATGGTGTCTCTTCTAACGAGGACAAACGGTCAGCCACCCTCAACAGGGTGGCTCTCACTTCACTTAAGCTAGCAGCTGACAGTTCCGCATCCCGGCGATCGGCCATGTTGTTGTCGACGTCTGGTTTGTCGGGAGTGGAGAAGGTCTCCTGAGTCCACTCGACTGGGAAGTCTCTTGACTACCATTTGAGCGGGGGTAGGTCAGGTCAATTGAGCCCACGATCTTAATCGGTCGCTGACCAGCGGGTAAAAGTCAAAGTTGAAAAGTTGAATGTGGAATGCGGAAACTTGCAAGTACAATGCTCAAAGTCGGATGTCAAAAGCGAAAACTTGAATGTTGCATAAATCTAAGTTGAATGTTGAATGCAAAAAAGTTGAATCGCGAGTGCAAACTCAAATGACAAACACAAAGTGTAGGATAGATTGTGCAATGTAAAATGGAATATTGAATTTTGGCGGAAATGGAACGCCATAGTTGTCCTGTCTCCAGGTTGTTCCCAACTCGCACCCAACGTACAATCTTATGACTAATATGTGCAAAGTGAGTGTCGAGCTGGGACTTCCCCTCTCCTGCTTCAAAGTTGTTATATTCCACCAAGGTTAAATCAAATACTTGATTAGCTTCAGCCAGGTAAAACAAGAACCCTGAATTGTGATAGTGAGGTCCATTATCTGTTGAAATAAAACAATGCACAAACAACGCACATTAGAACAGAAGTAGATTTCACAACATTTTATGTAAGCAGATATAGAGGATAATTTTATCTCACATGAAAATGTAACACTATACATGCGATAAGAAACAAAAGACCTGAAGGCTACATTTCTTGGTAACGACTCAAAAAACTAGTCACGAAGGTTAAACAACAAACTTGCAAAAATGACTTCACTTTGTAATGACATAAGATAGCAATATGTTGTCTACAGCACTGCTTTTTGTTCACTTTGATACTGTTGTATAATAATAGGAAAAGTTAGGTCAGTGCAATTGCCAATCTCTTGGTACTATTAAATATTATTGAACACAGTTCTCAAGACGTACCAGACAACAAATACACTCTGAAGCCAGGAAATGCCTTTTGCAGCCATGTAAAAGCCACATCCATAGCACTCTGGGTAAACCAGGAATCCTGTTTGGTGTCCTCTGACCATAAGTCCAGGACTTCACTGACTTTCTTGTTTTCATCCACTTGAGCTATGGCAAGGAGGCCATGTAGAGATACGCCTCTCTTGCCATACCAGTCCCTTTGAATTTCACGAAGACGTACACCAAGCTCCAGTTTCATTTTATAATCAATAACAACTGCTTCACCTGGCTGGAGATTGTTGAGCACAAATTTGTGATTGTCCCCTTGGTGCCTTGTTCTCAACAAATGACTGGTGTATAATACACTAGAGGTCATCACTTCCTTCAGTTCCTCCTTCAATCTGTCACACTCCGAGCGATCTGCTATCCTCCCTATGTGTTCTTGCACAACTTGCTCAACTTGAACCAAAGCAACAACATCAGGACAAGAATTTGGATGGGCTTCTGAGCAAGACCGAAAGGCATGTGCCATGCAGAGTTCAAGACAGGGGGAATGCCTGTCAACAATTTTTCCAAACTGCGTCGTAAGGAACTGCTGGTGCTTTGTGACCTTTGCTTTCTCTTCTTTCAGTGAGATGGATGCACTACGTTCGATGTCACTCAATAAAGATTGCATCTTGTCATAATTAGAATGTCCATAATCGTCACAGAGATTGCAAAGTCCTACCAACATTGTGTCAGAACGGAAGCTTGGTGGCAGATGGCTATAAATATAAGTTCTCTTTACACCATTAGGGAACTCCAACAGGTACTGGTTCACCAGGTTCTTGATGCTATCTTTCCAATATCTGACTGGAGTTTCATGACCATGAACAATAATGCTCCTGCAGGATGAAGGTCTTGACACATCATCCCTCAAAAAGAATTCTGAGAGTTCCTCAAGAACAGCTGGACTCACACTCTGTCGTTGGAACTTAAACTTAGATGATGGGGTCCCACCACGACCAAAGAGGATCGCATGAACTTTTCCAGCAGTAACTGTGTTTGGCAAGCAGCCAAACCGTTCTTGCAGAAATCGGTAGGGGTAATCCATTGCAACAATGGACAACAGTCTTCTCCTTTCATCTGCATAGCAAGTGATCCTTCCTACAGAGTCAGCAGCAACAACCCTGCTCCGAAATGTTTGTGCTGTTTTGTCACCTGTCAATGTCAATCTGCTATCTTTTAAAGTTGAGCCAATAAACAACTTTGTCTTTTGAGCTGCAGCCCTCTTCCTAACCTCACTTGTCTTTTCTTTGGATATGCACTCCTTGTAGTCCTTTATAAGAGATTCCAAGATTGGATTTTTCTCTGTACTTGACACATTGCAACCAAAGGAGGAAATCCATTTCTTACTCCCAACTATTTCTGCAACCAATTGAGGCAAGTCTGTTTCTTCAAAGTGTACAGCTCTCAAAGCTACTTGTCTCATGTTGTCAATAATTTCACCCCTGAGTTCTCTCTGCCCACGCTCACATTGATTTTTGTAGGGAACTTCTGGAACAATGGGTGGCTGTGTGCTTTTATCTACCTTACCACACGAGGTTACTGGTACAGGCATGTAATCATCAAAATCAACTTGTGCGCCTGAGCTGGCAACATCGTTTTCAAGTCTGGAGTAAGCATCCTTGGAAAAAAATAAATACATGTACATGTCAGAAAGTGATGTTATCATATCCAGTTACGTCTGGTTATTTAGTGGGTATCATATTGTAAGCAGTGAAGAGTGAATAACAAAATATAAAAAAAACTGAAATAGTTTTGAACTCAGTCAGGACTCAAAATAACATTCCCTAACCACTTCCTGGTCTATGGCAACCCTGTTGCATTGTGCATGTAAGGTGAACGGGATGGCAAAGAGATGGATTCTTGCACAAGGCTAAGACCTTTTTAGATACATGCCGTATTTATATTCTGCCATAACAATAAATTATAGTATGTTCTAGGTTTATCCTAATCCACCTCCTACGGGTGAGTAACCTCTGGATCAAGATAACTGCAGGTGTAGTAGGAATCCAACTTCCAAGGGCCCTTAAAAATTTAGCCTGCGAAACACAGATGTATTTCTCGTCCTCTCTTTTCTCCCCACCCGTTATTTTTTGGAGGGAGAGAAATACATCAGTGTTTCGCAGGCTAGCAAAATGAGGCCATATGAAAAGTTTATCAAAGGGTGTTAACAAAAAAATTAAGGTGGGAAGAATCTGCTTATCTACAGAAAAGAAAATAGGTCATCCCATTATAAGTTATAGCAGAATTTGAGGGGTGTAATTGTGACAAGATTTTACAGGCAGGCAAACATATTGCAGAATCGTAAAATACAATTATAACTTTTGGATCTCAGCTAAATCCATCACATTTCAAGACAGCACTCTTTCACCTAATATCTGAAAATTCCAGTTCCCAAATCTTTTATTTGCCGCATTTCCAAAATGGTGGATTTCAGCACGAATAATGTCAGTTAGAGTACTGCCTATATAGTAAACAAAAGGAAACGCTAAGAACCTGTAGTTAGCCGGATGTAATCGCGATAAAGGAAAAGGTAATTCATACAGCGCAATTTCAAAGTCATGCCTAATAAACGGACGCGCATTTCAAGCACAAAAGGTGGCATGTGAATCAAGAACGTGTGAGCTTACCTCAAGTTTACTACACTTCTCTTCCACTTGCAGTCGCGAGCGGCAAGAAATGCAAATGTTTCTCTTGCGATTTTTGTTTTTCGGGTCATTTGAAGCAAAATCCAAGATTTCGGCCTCTTCTCGAGTGCACTGCTGCGAATTGTTGGAACCCACAGCACCATGCTTCCATTCATCATGACGAGAACAGCAACAAGACGAAACAAACGGCATCGAGGAGCCCTCGCAGATCGAGATAAAAAAACTATATACAACTATTTACAACTAAGAAGTGATATTTACAAATTTAAGCGCGTTTTAACTCCACCAAAAGGGAAAAACACCGTCAAACTTCGACTCACACGCGAGTGTAACATGAGCTCTCAACTTCGCAAATGTTGTGTTGCGAAATAACTCGGGACGCTCACATACGATTTTTGCACGAAGAAGTATAACAATGCTTCGTGACGTTTTCTTTCAGTTTTCGACGTCTACGAGGATAAAATCGGTAAAAATCGTAAAAAAATCGGAGAACAAAGGATTTCGGCCAATCAGAACGCTGCATTTTAATTAGTTAAGCCAATTATTTATGGTTGGAAAAATCATTCCGTGCATTCCTTTGCCGTTGGTGCTATCGTTGATGTCCGGAGCGTTACTTAAAAGCAAAATGTAAGTTATTTTTTGCAAACAGTAGCTTCAACATACGAATGTAAAGTGGTGTTGTCGAAAAATGAAATCTACAAATCTTCTTAATGCAGCATAATCTATGTTAAAAATTACAAGAAAACTCATAAAAATAAAAGTTATCTGAAGCAATTTTTGATTTAAAAGACACAATAATATTGATAGTTTCATCAATTATCCCTTTCAGTCCCAAAAGTATTCCTTGGCAAAATCATCAAAAAATCAAAATAAATATTTCATATTCATTCATCCTCTTAAAACCACCTTATACGAGTGCATCATTCACACTGGGAGTTAAAGGGTGGAGATAACATTTTTATATAAAAAAGTAAAAAACGTTTTAACAGACAGAGATAATTCTGTCCCTGAATGATAAGTTTCTTGTTCAATACTCTGGAGATGAGACATGGTTCTTTGTTGCCGTTTTTTTGTTTTTTACTACCGAATGTTGTTCTGGGCGTGGTAGCTCTTGGAATTAAACGGGAGGCTGTTCTGGGTGTGGAGGTAGCCCTTGGAGTGGGTGTTGTTCCTGGTTCTTTGTTGGTGGTGGATGGTGGTGTTGGTGCTGTGATGCTGGTGGGTGTTGACCCTGGTGCTCTGTTGCTGGTGGAGACCGTTGCTGCAGTTGTAGTGCTGGCAGTAAGAGGTGCAGAGAAACCAGTGCTTGATGAGTGTGATGTGGATGGAAGTCGCACTGCCCATCCCAGACCGTCAAATGATGGGCGCCGAGTTGATGAGCTGGGATGAGGTTTTCTTGCCACAAAGTTAGCTCTTAACTGACGGTTTAGATTCTTTATATATGAACTGTCAAGTTTTTTTGACATTTGTCAGGGTACATCTCTCCCAGGGCAACTTCTTTACTAAATACGCTGAAACTATGACGTTCCCATCCTCATCTTCTGACAAATCTGATTCGTCGGAACTTGTGTATTCCATTGAACCAACGGCATTTTGTATTTCCATCTTTTCCTCTGTAGACCAAGGCATCTTTGCAAGAATTGAAAGCCTCCTCTGGACTTTCTAGGTAGCAAAAGAGAAAAAAGACAAATAGAGACTATAAAAATGCATTCACGCTGCCTTAAACCAAAGCATGGTGCATAAGTTACATGCTTCTTGGACTGCTGAGCATGGGTCCATTGACATCTCTGCACTCAGCCGACCTGGGATAGTTAATTGCTATGTTGACCACAGTGTAAAGGTCAATGGAAAATGATATCAACATGTATTTGCTGTTGTCTGGTGGTACAAAACTGATCATGAACAAGATCATTTGGCAATCCTACTCAGGTTTGGAAATGCTATGATTATGTACACTGTGGGCCCTCACTCTTTATGCCAGTGCAACGTATAAGCCAAAATTTGCGTGTTTTTCTGTAAAACTTAATGGGGAAGAGAAGTTGGTAATTTCCCCCATGCCCAGATTATTTCACTAATGGAAATTATACTCAGAGCTGTGTACTCAGCGAGTTAGACTGAAACAATTTTTAGTACACTCAAACAAGGAATGAGATGATGTTCGTTATCTACTATCATTCCACAATACTTTACTTGAAAGTCTTTATGGGTGTGATTCATAAGGGAAACATATGTCTCAACAGCAGTTTTCTCATATTTCTTGCCATGTGAGATAGCTTTAGAGGTAACTTTGAACAGGTGAAGTTAGCAGAGAGACTTGATCAAAGATTGATGGTTGCATTGGATTACTGTGTGCCACAGTCCAACCGACTGAGGCCCCAATGCGGCCTGCTCTGTCTATAGAAAAAATTCTCGTTGGATTGCTTCCTTGTGTCTTCTTCAATGGCATCCAGTTCATTATCATTAAGGTCGGTCTAAGGTGACCTCAAAACATTGCTTCAGAAGATCTGGATAGCTGAGTTTAAGATGACTAGGGTCATACAAATCTGGCATTGTAAGTACGTGTTGGCTTCTCGACATAAAGCTTTCAGAATAAGGTTTAAAAAGACTTAGAATGACTGGTTTTACATTCAATTTATTTAACTTCTTTAATTGAGCATTTCATCCTCATCAAGTGGTCTTACTGACACGTTTGATTTTTTAATAATTCTTGCTGGAGCTGATGGTTGGGACTGATTCTCACCCTCGCAAGCATCTACTTTGAGGTCCATCTCTTCTTGTAATTTTTTCGATGATTTAAAATTGTTGTCTCGAGCTCTGGCGTAAGTAACTTCGTTCACGTACGAAGGTAAAAGCCATGTGCATTTGACTTGCGTGCAGGCCAATTTTCCACTGAATCTTGTCCATGCTTCGATGTAAAATAGCACGCTTGCAACGTCGGAGCACGTTTTTGCTAAGCCAGCCTTACAACCCATGCAATGGGCCAAAATGATTGTTCCTTATTGGCTTGAAATCACCCAAACGGGGATCGACGGGTCATTCATGTGCTGCGAATGTCGCACTTTTGCAAGAACCACGTACTTTCTGGCGATAACTTCCCCTGTACACTGGTAATAAAACCAGAAACCATCTGGTTATACGCCTCTAAACTTTTGAAGGCTTTGGATTGTTGTGCAGTATAATAACTCGTATCTAAAATCAAATAGGACAGTAGATCTGTGGCTTCGATGGGTGGTAAACAGTCTGGATCGAGCTTCGCATGCCACAACGTAGCCGGGTCAATACCAATGACTGATTTTTTCTCAATGTGGCGACGTTTCACCCGGCTCTCTAGCTTTTTCGAGTACTCTGATAAAAGAGGAACAAGTGTAGAATCTTCCTGGTCTTGTTCTTCAAAGTTTACTGTTTTAGATTCGCCGGCCTTATCTTCAGACATGCTGTTGTAATCCTTCACCCCGTAATTCATCTGGTTCCGGTATGAGCTGAAACTTTCTCAATTTAACGTAGATTTTCAAAACATTCTACATTTTTCAACTACTCTAACAATAGAGGAATGACATAGCAATCATCTCCATAAGTTTCACTTGATTTTCTCTAACAAATCTATCAAATTCGTTGATTTTTCTTTGACTACGTATTAAAAAACCCTACATCGCTTTGTATTTTGATATATGCTAATGAGCAAGCTGTACACCAATATGGCCGGCAAGTAAATATGATATGCTTGTGACCTAAGTTGAAAACCGAGAGTAGAAGAAAATTGACAGGTTATAAGTTATTTTTGGCAGATTATAGCCTTTGTATCAAGTTCATTGTCAATGAAATGTTAGCTTTTAGAACTGTTATACCAAAAATGAAAAAATGAAAGTGGTGCAGTTGCATCAGGAGACAGTTTCCTTGACTTTGATTGGGTAGTTGCCTCTTTAGCACAGATAGGGGCAAATAAGATGTTCAGAATATTAGCCAGCACTTTGTATACACATCCTAGAATGTCAATTCCGTTCTTGGGCCAGCAAGCGTTCAAAATTGACCAATCCCGCATGCGTCCAATGTAGTGTTCATTGTAGATGAGGAGGGTGGCCACATCAAAGTTTTTTGGTATGTCTGTCTCCTCTTACTGCCCCTAAAATTTTATTGGCGAACGATTATGTGAAAGGCCTTTGGCATGACACAAGTCTTCAATTCAAAATCTGTTAGCACTGTAGCCCCCTTATCTTGTATCATATCAAGTACCCCACAGTCAGCTGTTAAATCGTTATCAGAAATTGACCCAGCATAAGTGTCAGTGCACATGACAAGTGTCATGGTTTTTTTATGAACTGAATGTTGCATTGCTGATGTCAAAGTTTTCCGGTGAAGCAATCCAGTTCTCTGTGCAGTCTCCCAGCAACGGTGTGTCCTGGAAGCCAGGTGCATAAAATTCCAGACGTAAAAGAGAAAGAACCTAACAGGGTTGAGAGAAAAACAGCCCATGCTGTAAAGATTCTAGATTGAGTTAATGCTCTGGTGCTGTCATGTACCCAGTAATACTTAGGTAAAGTGTGTGTCTACATATTGTCATAAAGCACATCAACTCAGTTCTTTTTGTTGATCACGCATTAGTGATTATACCAGGCACGATTTACGGACAGGTTTTCAGCGTAAGCTTCCGTGTAAGCGGCTTACAGGGCTTACAAGCTTGCAGGTTATAAATTAACTGGTTTGAATATATCATTCAAAGATGTTGCGGAAACTGCACCTTGCGACGTCAGTCTAGTAAGTTTCAAGAAAAGAGAAATTTAAGTCAAGAAGACTTGACAGTTGGAACATAAGTCTTTATTTATTAATTAATTTATTTATTGGATTAATTAATTTTATTTATTGTAACATTTTTTAGTTATTTAGGTACAGGTCGCAGGTTTAATATAGGCAGCTGTAGGCAGACTTCAGTCAGCGCTGAGGAGAAAAATGGACGAGTTCATGTTAGTATAGCTGGGTAGTCCCTCAGAAATGCAGACATTAACACATACAGATAGAAACTAATGTACTAGAGTTATATGCTTCTGACATTATACCAGTGGAAGTCTTGAAAATGTGTTCACAAAACTACTAGAATATTTGAGTATAAACCTGGCGATAGGAACAATAGGAACTACACTAGGCACTAGGAAGCTTTTTTTCACTGGATACAGTTTTTTGCGAAGCCGTATAATTCTCCATAATTAATAACAGCAGATGCACATGGTGTTGCGTTGGGATGCTGCTAAAAAGTCAGATGGTTAAGATGACGTAAGAACTAGATGGCGCATACGTGTGAAGTGTGCATGAGTAGGAGGAAGGCACTAGATGGCATCGACCTAAACCAGATGAGTCATTGATATGTCAGCGGCCTCTTACAAAATGAACCCTCGACTTCAGCTCATTTGATCGATCGCTGCGAGAATGTTAATTTGAGTTAAAAAGGGTCAACTTTTGACATTAACAGTTGATATTACTAAAAACTTTTAAGTCTACAATGGGCTCAGCAGTATTGCGCCGAATTACGTGGCTTATGGTCGTTCCGAGGAACTTAGCTGAGGCTCAGGTTTCGGTCTATGTTATTTAGGGTCGACACGCTTTGCAGGAAGTTCAGTCCTCAGAGCCTCTGTTACTTTTGTCCAGCTGTACAAAAGGATTGCGGCCTTGCGGAACTTTGCTTCATGTGGATAGAGTACGTATTTTGTTTTGGACAAATGAGTTTTAGGCTGTTTGAATTTTGTGATATTGGTAAGGTTGGAGATTATTTAGTGGATAATGTCAGTACTGAAAATAGAGAAAATATAAAGGTCAGTAACGATTCGGGGTGGAGGCGGGGGGAATAATCGCTATAACTGCCTTTGTAGGCTCCGTCTGAAAGAGGTCCCTTTTCCGGCTTCAGGTATATGAAAGGGTAGAGATTTCACTAGTTAAAGTATACCAAAGGGTAGGGAAATGTGCCATACGTCTAAAAGATGAATTTTATAGCTTTATAAAGTCAGAGATTCGAGACACACAAATATGTCTCGAGCATTATTTTTGAAGTTGCAAACATCAGAGATCAATGTTAAAAAACTGTTAGGCTAAACAGTTTTCAAAAACCCTAATTTCAATCCTTTTCAATCTTCTTCACTTTTGCCCATCCGTGGCATCTGTTAACCTAACCTTCCTTTAATGTTTTAAGCAGTTATTTGTACGTTTCTCTTAATTTAACGGGCATTTTTTAATTACCTAATTTGGATGAATTTCGTGACACAACTCCATTAAATTACAAAATTAAATGAAAAAATTCATGCACGCCAATTAACCCTAAAAAATATTCATGCTACGGCCTAAAAAAAATTCATACAAGGAATTTGATAACGAAAAAAAATTCCTGCGGCTCAAAAACTCAATCAACACAGTGTCAACAAACAGGGGTCTCTTTTCGGGATCTCTTCCGAGAAGAGATCCCTACAGGTGTCCTTTAAAAAGATAAAATTTCGGCATGCAATTGTTACGTTTCGTATAAGTGTAGTTCCATGTTGTCAAAAAAGGATTTGTGCATAATCTGACGGCGTACTACGGCGTAGTACATACAGAGACTGACAAAGCATCATGCACCGTTTTAGATATGCCCATAATCAGATGTAGGATATGCCTGTAGAAAATACCTCAAACTCTTCCTTTGGTTTTGTTATCACGGCTGTGACATGGCAAGAGAGGCCTTTCTTTCCAAACCACTCTCCTTGCGTTTCCCTATACTTAAACGGAAGGAATTTCATAGCCCAATCCATGATAAGTAAAGCTTGCTCTGGCGTCATATTGTTGAGGGTATCATCCTTTGCTACGTCCTGGTGTACTGCTCTTAAGATGTAGGCCTTCCAGCGCTCAATCTTGTCTATAGCGTTACTAATGTCATGCTCTATTTCCTCCTTTTCGTGTTGATATCTAAAAATCAAAATAAAAAAGTTGATAGTTTCCTTCTGTTATCAAAGGTGTAATTATAATTTCTTGACGTTTTAGGGCGACATCATTTGCTTGTCTTTGCACGGTATATTTTTTCCTGATCCTTTGTTTAATGAAGTAAACGCGGCATTGTTTCCGAAGTTAAACAACTGTAGATTCCAGTCACCTGAGCCACCCATTTCCAATTGCGAAGAAGGTGATTAAGATATGACAATTAGAAAACTTACTCCTCATGATCAGGTAAAATTACAATATATATCGTCTCGTAATATCCTGTGAAGAATTTGTTTTACATGTGTAAAATGAAACGATCAACAATAAACTGAACAATATAAATTCTGTTAGGGGAGAAATCGGTCTTCTTTCTTTGGTTTTGACTGCAAGAAAGTTTAGGTTTTTGGTTTTGAAAGGGGAAGACTGTAGAACGTGGTATAAGTAATCGTTTACCTGAAGTGAAGGTCTCTTGAAGGTCTCTCTTCAGTTCTATTTCCCTTAAGAACATTCTTGATATTGTCGCATCTTTGACATGATTTCGTGTGTTCATGCTCTTAGAGATGATCTTCAGGGTCAGACAACGCAAATACCCGGCAGTGATCAGCACACTGGCTTTCTTCAGAAACGCGGATCTTGAAGTTTGTCTTAGGTAGCTTTTACCAGCTTTCAAGCGATCTTTAACACCTTGAACCCAGGCTGAACTTTTACCTTTAAAAAGGCACGCTAATGTTATCACTCTTTTTTTTAATTACTACTATTTAAGATAAAGCCGCTCATATATGCTAAATAGCGTTAAGAGGCCAGGCCTTTGTTTAAATTACACAGTATAAAATATATGCCTTTTAAATAAATGGTTTCGACAAACCTAAAAATAGCATTATATAGAAACAAAATGGGAAGATTCGGGTCTCCCCTGGACAAAACTTAAATCAAGCTGAGCTTACCTACCTTTCCTAGCCTGTTTACAACGTCTTCGAGTGTATCGAAGGCTTGAGATCCCTCTGTAGCGATGTTATCAAGTCCTGCCAAAGACTTCTTTTGTGATGCTGCACAAATCTGTACGATAATGAAATATGGTTATATGTTTCTCTGCGTGTTCATATTTACTGCTTTTCTCATCCAGAGCGTTTGCCCTTTTCTAATCCCCACCTATAAGCATGGCTAAAGGAATTTTCAGTTAATCAAGCTGACGAAGTAGTTTAAACTAAGAAACATGACACAATGCATATAATGATATCTTCGTGATATCCACATGAGGTAACAATATAAAAAACGCCAATTTTTTCTTTCTTTTTCGCTCTTCGTCTGATTTTGAATCATGATTTTGTTTTGATACGTACCTGTAAAATACTGAAGAGGGTTGACCTCCCATGTGAAAGGAAACCGGTTTCCTGACAGCACTGCTGGTATAAATCCACAATCCTTGAAGCAATAACTGTCCTAACCACGTTTGGAATCTCCATCTTCTCCCCATTCGACAATTTTAGCGTATTTGTTCCGTACGCAACATCTTGCACGAAATTTGGTCTGCTGATAAAATCTAGAAAATGGTCTACTTTGCTTTGATCCAGTCTTGCGCGTGTAATGGCCTCCATCTGTGGCACTGGTTTACCCACCCCCACCTTAGCGGCATGCCTTCTTGCCTCATCTATCGCCCAAATGCTTACTCCAGGAATAAGCAGCTGAAGTTGTGCTTTAGAGTAGTCGTTTACAAATACTGACAGGATTTGCCTTTTAGTAAACCAACTGTTGGCCTCTTTGTACAATTTAATCAGGCGCGATATTTCGCTAACATCCGTATCTACACTATTTTGCTTCTCTTTTTTCTCCATATGTTTCATCAACTCTGAAAGTAATTCTATGGCTTGCCCTGGAGCAAGACAATCCAGAGCCACTTCAATGATCTCTTTCCCCTTCTGTCTGTAATATCTCTGTGTGCTTGGTGCAGCTTCCTTCCAAGGTATACTCAACTGACGAACCACTGGATCTATCCTACCACGAGCACAAGGAGCTGAGCGCATAAACTCATTCACCACTTTCAGTCCCGATTTCACACATGGAGTAGAACACTATTGATATGAAATGTCTTCTTCTGGCAATGACTCATCTAGAGGACTACCAATGCTCACTTCATGTTCATTACATTGAGCCTAGAAAAATAAAGAGCAATGCAGTTGATTAATATCTGTAAACTAATCTGTCGTTTATGTTAAGTGTTAAGGCAATGCATGAGTAAAAATAAACATACTGGACACTCATGCACAAAACGATTTTCTCTAACGTTTATGAAGTCGCCTAATTCAGTGGTAGGGTTTGAATCCAAAGGAGGTGCCTGTTCCTGAAGACGTAATTAAATGATAATAAGAGTTAATGTTTATTTTTATTCAGTCATTTACCTATCTGCTAGAGAAACTTCGAAATAAACTCCATTTGAAAGTAGAAGAAAAAGAATAGAAGGGAAAAAAGGGGGAAAAAATAGAAAATTCATTGAAATAAGGAAAATATTATCCATGGTAGATGACTGTAAATGTGCGTGAAATTTAAAAATTATATTTACAAACAGAGATAAAGTCACGGAAGCCACTGGTCTGGAAAAAGAGGGCATTTATGTGTTCACATATTAGGGAACCAGAACCTTGCAGTGCTAATAAATCAATTTCCTTTCAGAATTGTGAATCGTGTATGCCATGCAGCTAAGGCATTTTAGAAATAGCGCTAAGAAAACGCAAGTGTACACATGCGTTTACCAAAGAGAAGGACTATATTAATGGAAAGGTAAACAGACATAATTTATTGTGGCAAATGTCATGTATTTAATATTATTTTTCGCTGAAAGATTGCAAATACCTTTTTTTTTGTTTTTTTTTTCCTTAGGCCACTTTGGCCGGCGGGTGTACCCGCCACAGCGGTGGCATCTCAGTTTTTTGAGATGTTCATTTGCAAGAAATAAAGTAGTTTGGCTCATCGTAAAAGTCGGTTTGGGTGGCTAATAACACGAGATAATAAAAATGTAAGATAAAGGTGACTGTACATACAGTATCCTACAGCTGGCTTAACCTTCTTGCCGGGTGGGTCGAATTGGGGTCGTGTGGCGCCCCACCCTTCGCACTTGTAGCATTCTGTGAAGAGATGCAAATTAAAAAATGTTATTAGCTGCTCGATGTCCTAGTTTTACTGGTTTGAGGTGTGATCATTAAAAAAAGCTCGGCTGCACCTTGTTTGTCTACCCACTTGTCGATGTCTGGATATCGCATGAAACACGGCATGTCGTTTTTGATATAGCTTCTCAAATGAAGAAAAGTTCTTGGAAAAATTTAAAGCTAAAGTTCGCAAAATTCTTATCCGATAACCAAACCATCCTCACGGTTGACATTTTTTTTTTTTGCTTTATGAATTGTTAATGAGTTTGAGACAGTTGCTTTAACATCATGAACATAGGTGAATGATGTCGTGTTATCACCCGCTGCATTTGCAGAAAGTCCAT